GGGTGTATGTAGCATGTGTGTGTCCGTGTGTGTGTATGACTACTTAGCACTCTAGAGTTACTGATTACTTAGCCGAGGCGAATTAAATGCAATAGTTAGGGAGCGGGACTTTAGTCTTAGACCGCCCGGTAGAGAAGACTAGAACAGGAACAACAAAGGGAAAGGCACCGACACACAAGTGTGTCGAGTACCATTTCCCTGTGTTGCCCTAATTAGGTGGGGAGTAGAACTCGGCGGGGGGGGGAAGGGAAACATGCCTGACCGCAAGTGGAATTCCGTTTTTTGGCCCGGCGGCCGTGGTTGTTCACCGTGAAAGCCCGGCGGCTTTTTGGTCAGCAAATTCAGTTGTGGAAGTGGAACCAGGTGAGTCAGTGGAAAGATTCAGTTATAACAGGGAGGGATGAGTTCCGGCATGGTTGCAGCGCCCCTTTCACGGGGATCACACCCAGCACCCAAGTGGGACGGCTGAGCGGTTCACACTCTGACATTGGTTTGCAGTTAACTCAGTTCCCACGTTGAGAAGGAAGGTGAGGGAAAAGAAAAGCGCATGGGTCAGCGAGAACAGTATAGTTTAACAAAAGTTTCCCTTTAGTGCAACTAGACCTTGACTCAAAAATGCAGAACGGAAAGGCGATGGAGTCCGGAAAATTGGAGATGTTTCAACATTGTTTTCATCTTGCATTAGCACTTTAGAGCTTGATTAAAAATTAAATTGGAAAAACGCAGGTACGTTTTCACCCAGGTGGGGGGCGTCTTCATTGGCCGGAGACCCCCCACCTGGCTCCGGCCCCCTGCTTGGAATCACTGTACATCGGAACCCTTAGGTACAGGGGTTGACACACACAAACACGCACACATTCAGGCCCGACAGGTGGCACATTGTGCTGATGTTGGTCAAGTGTAGGAGCTTGGGAGACATAGGCTAAAGATGTTTCGGATGCGGTCAAAAAAGACTATACCTGCAAACGACAACGACAGAAACCAACTGGTTTTCAAGTAAAAAACAAAGTAAACCAGCGAACCACATGCACTCAATGGTCAAACTGCTGAGACCTGTTGATGATTTCCAATGGTGCAGGTTCCACTACTTTATTTGGAGCGACGACAACGCAGAGTTTGACTACGTCCCAAAGTGCACCCCTGCGCATTGTGGCGACGCTTCACTACTGCCATTGCAAAATGAGAAGGCGGTAATGTACTGGCAGCGGCTGCTGGAGGAGGATCAACCAGCAGCTGCTGCACCTATCATTCACAATCCACCCCGGTGCAATCCATCGAGTATGTAGCTTGAAATTGATCAAAGGTGCTGCTGTGTATATCGATGATGGTTTTTGTCTTGAGAGATCCACTTCATTCATGCGATGATGTACGGTCGGTTAACGATACCCTCACCCTTGAGAAGGTATTCCCACGATTTCCAAAGTGTTCCGACCCGGCAGTTGATTTTCACGAGGATTGTCCTCCAATCGGCTGGAAACTTGAAATGGCCCTGGCCCCTGAAACTTGCTTCACTGAAGAATGGCTGTAATTCTTTGTAAGGAACGCTTGTTCTATGCTGTGCAAGACGGCCCAGCACTCAAAGCTCTCAACTAATCTTTGTGTATGTATACGACAACTCTTTCACCTTACGCACTCCTCGAAAATGCCACAGATTGAAGCTCAAGGCCTTCTCTCACCGAGACGCCGCCAATTCAAAGTCAGAGTCGCCAGATGGAGGCGCTCCAGGAGATGGTAGTGCAGTGATGCCCTCCTTGTCTCGACCAACGCACCAGGCTCGGTTGTCCTGCTGGCGCCCGTAATTCAGGCAGAGTGACATCGGCCATCCCTGCCTTTGCTCGTTCCCCTGCACCTCCTTGGTGTATCCGACCGGCGCATTGGGCCATGATGTCCGCGCCCTTCCTGTTGAACTGTCATTGTGCACCGGCATTGTGCGCCGGCATCGACAGTGTTTGCTCATTGCATCCAGAACTCTTGGATGCCGAGCCGGTTACCTGTGCTGTGCAGCGCATGGGTTGAGGTGGATGTCCTGGAGGTGTTCCTGACCTGCAGGCGCAAGCGCTCAAAGGTGTAGTGTGCAGCGATCATTTGTCGATTGGCTGGATGTTCCTGTAATCGTGCTATCCATTGATGTCCGTTGCCCTTGTGGCCCTCTGACAACTGATGATAATTGGTGATCATTGGTCACCTGGACGGACCTTGATCGTCACAGCTGTGGGCTCCATGTTGACGTGCTCAATGGATCTCACCTCGGGACCTCTTAGAACGAAGGAGACATGAAGCACCGGGTAGGCTTCAAGAGGCGCCGGCCTGGAAGGGTTGTGCCCTCAATGTTTTCAGGCACCTCCGGCTTCATGATGTTGTGCTGAAGACTGGGGATCTTCCTTCAGCATGATACTCTTGATGGCGGCGAACAACACCAGCGACACCCTTGCCAATTCTTTGGACCCTCCGTCCAGATGCACTCGAGGCAGATTCTGAGGTCGAAGCTTTTCTTCACCTCAGGGCCTGTCCTCATTTGCCTCAACCTGAGGTTGAAGTAGTTGAAAGCGTTACTTTCTGTGGTTCGGAATAGGAGGTGGTACAGCTCTGCGGCAAGAAGATGGCCTCTACTTTGATGTTCTGGTGGTTTGCTAGTGTGTTAGGCTAGTTACACGTATTGTTAACTACATCATAACACATTTGCAATAGGGTTATAACTACTTATAACAAGTTACAATTGCCCTAAAGGCTTTATATTATCATCATTTTTTAAAGCTAATAACTAAAGGAAAATATTTGTTATGCTAATTTCATTAACGAACTTTTTTTTATGACAATTACTAATTTTACCAAAAAAATAAACAAAATTAGCACAGTTAACATACACTTTAAAAGTTAAAAATTGACTTAAAAAATGTTGTATGTTTATGTTGCCAAGGTTAGAGCAAGCCTTTGTCTACAGGCTCCAGATGCTTCAGCCTCTACAGGCTCAAGTTGTTTCAGCCTCTACAGGCTCAGGTTGTTTCAGCCTCTACACGCTCAAGTTGTTTCCGCCTCTACAGGCTCAGGTTGCTTCAGCCTCTGCAGGCTCAAGTTACATCAGCCTTTGCAGGCTCAAGTTGCTTCAGGCTTTTGTACAAGAGGAGATCCTGTGCAGGATCAAGTTGTGTTGGTCTGCGCATGCTCAAATAGGTTTATGCATTGCAGCCTGCCACAATGGCAGTGTAACAGTTTGTGGGGTGGGCAGCTACATACAATGAAAAGGTGAATGTGTTGAAGAGACAACCAACCACAACATAAGAACACAAGACACAACCAACCACAACATCAGAACACATGAAACACAAACAACACAGCATATGTAGGTGGTTTGCTCATGAACTTTTAGTGTTTGCACACCATGGCTCTTCCTTGGGTGGTGGAGCTCAAGAAGATTTGAATGACAATGAGATGGGCATCAACTAAAAGGCTGCAAAGGCCTTGGCAGGGTCGCAGCAAGCAGGACTTGCATACACCACAGTCTTGAAACCAAAAGAAGTCTTGATCCATCCTTCGAATCGAGGAGGACAGATGTGCAACCACTTTGATGTGATTACAAAGGGAAAATCCCTCTGCCAGGTAGGGTGGAGCCTTCAGAAAGTGGGGCCTTCAGTATGTGTGGAATTGCCCATTGAGAGCAAGAAGAGATCACAAATCATTGAGTGCAATGAGACTCTTGCATCCACTTCTGGTGGCATGCTTCCCATGCCAAGTGGCAAGGAAAGAGTGCGCGGCCTTTCCACCAGCCACACCTGTACTTTCCTTCGATGTCTAGAGAATGGATGCAAAATGGATGGTGGTGATGACCTTGCAGGTGGCTCCCATCTTTCACTAGAGCAGCTGATTGCCAAAGGTGATGATCTTGGGAGAATGCTCACAGAAGGGTGGGAAGGGTGTGTGGTCAAAGCGCAGGTCGAAGCTGAGGTGCCTGACTTCTGTTGCTTTTTGCAGGCTGCATACAATAGTGACTCCTTGGACACTTTGATCAGAACACTTTTTATGGTTTAGCTTTATGTGTGCTGAACTGGTTGTATGTGCAGCGGTGTCCACCACACCATCCAAGGTGATCATGCCATTGTCAAACCTCCAAATGAACTGGAGGTTGCAATGACAATTGCTCACATCTTCCAGATGCAGCCTGCAGACAAGAAGGATCTTGCAAAGCCAGTTGCCCAAGCTGCTGCAGGGATGCCTCCATGCAGAAACTACATCAAGAGCATTGGGGACTTTGTAGCTTCCTATGCTGGTGGTGAATCCTTCCAGCTCTTGAGGTGCTTGGACTTCATGTGTTGCTCAGTGGCATTGATGCAAAAAGATGATACCAATGCGGGCTCTGGTGGTGGTGGAAGAAGGGGCTGGATTGGGGAAGATGGAAGGACACCACTGAGCTTTGGCATGTGGTTTGAATCTGTGCCAGCGCAGGCTCATGTTTGTAAATGATATCAATTTGAAGCCTGTGGAGGCTCAGTGGGGAATTGTTTATGTGTAGCTTCAATTTTGAAGCCTGTGGAGGCTCAGTGGTGTATTGTTAATGTTTGTAGCTGCAATTTGAAGCCTGTGGAGGCTCAGTGAGGTATTGTTCATTTTTGTAATTGCAAAAAATTATGTATTGATAGTTGTTTACAATGCTATCTAAGGACCCAGAGAACAAGGAATACTCAGGTTGGCAAAACAAAGCCACAGCTTTGGTGCATATGTGGAAGGTGGGTGAGGATGGTGGGCTCGACAGAGCCTTGGGCAGGCTGCATGATCACCATTCATTGCAGCAAGGGCTCAAAGAGCTACATGAAAAGTACAAGAAAAAGGGACCTGAAGTGTACAAGAGGTACATCTGACAACCTCCTCTGGCCTGGTGTTGAAAAAATCAATTTAGTGTGTTGTGCATTGTGCAGCCTGTACAGGCTCATCGTTGCGAAATTGACCTATAGGAGTGTCCACGTTCTCTCCAACACGCGCGTCCTCCAGTCAAACGCACGCGCTCCGGACTTTTGACCCACGGGATCGAGAGATGACACACATCCGGCCACCACGACTTGCCAAGGATGCGGTCCACATCGACACACATCCCACCGTGGCATTCTTCAGTGGCGGCAAACCTTGCATATCACACATCGGACTGAATGGAATTCGAATTTGAATGTAAAATCTGTCTTGAACTCTGAGACTATGTATGATGAGTCTTGTATGATGAGGGGTGTATGACAAGTGATGAATGATGAGTGGTGTATGTTGAGTGGTGTATGACGAGTGGTGTATGATGAGTGGTGTATGCTGACTGGTGTATGATGAGTGGTGTCTTGACCAGCAGTTGAATGTCCTGTCCTGCATAACTGCAACCAAATACTAGCAGTATGAACTGAACGCGCACGCCGCGAGAGATGACTCAGCAGCGAGAGATGACTCAGTCGCGAGAGATGACTCAGCCGCGAGAGATGGCTATAGCGAGAGCTGACTCAGCAGCGAGAGATGAATGAGCCGCGAAAGATGACTCCTCCGCGTACTACACTGTTCGCCAGTACAACTCTAGTTGTACTACGAATTCGCCAGTCCTCAGCTTCTAGCTGCACAGATTGCTCCGCGCGCTGAAGTTGTACTACAAAGTCGCCAGTTCTCATCGTCCAGCTTGCCAGATACTCCGCGTGCTAAAGTTGTACTACAAAGTCGCCAGTTCTCACCTTCCAGCTCTACAGATTGCTCCGCGTACTAAAGTTGTACTAGAAAGTCGCCAGTTCTCACCATCCAGCTCCACAGATACTCCGCGTA